TTTGGCACTCGTATTGAATAACACATTCAACGCACAGACACTCCCCCGACATATAGCGTCACTGTATGTGTGAATGAGTGCAGAGTTTTCACACATACTGTGAAAGTGTTGACAACAAACTCATTGCAAACCCATTGTCACCGCAACTGATCCCTCCAGAAGTCACTCACCACTGGACACAACGACTGATGGCTAACCTATTGGAGGCCATAACGGATCCCAAGACCACATCGACCGGTGATGTCGTCGACAAGCAATCCATGGATGAGTTGATAGCAAACGGATTGTACGCCAAAGCCATCCGCGGTCTCAGCCATCGGATCAACACTGAGTACAAGACAATTGGCGCACAAAATGGCGGCGAATCGGTGGACCGACTGCACCGGTATCTGCTGTTGAGGTCGTATTGCTATTACAAGTCACGTGTGGGTAATGAGAGCCTCGAGTTGGCCATCGATGACGCCATGGAAGCCATCGGTGTCGCAGATAATCGCTTCCAATCCTATCTCATGGGTATGTGTGGAGACAACAACCGATCCATTGGGTGATAGTGTCGGTGGCAGTGGTGGTGAACACCCATTGGCTGATGTCATGCATTGTGGGATCAATTGATGTGATGTTTCAGTGTTTTTAGGCATTGATTGGTGTGTTTTGGTCACCAATTAGTTCCCATTATCACTGATTGGTGGCTAAGAAGTGGTTAACGAATTAATTTTCACATGAAATAAACGCCAATTTATGCCACGAATTGGTTACAAGTGTTTGATGTCTTGTTTACCACTAATTGATTGTCACATATAATGGCCACCAATTCATTTCGAGATGCGATCACCAATTGATCCATAGATAAGCCATTAGTCGAGCCAATGATCGCTAAGACACACCGCGACTGCTGATAGTGTCACCCAATCAGCCATTGATTGCATGAAAAGCTGTTTACCACTCATTTGAACGGATAATTGTCTCCACTTTGAGGCGCTTTATTACACACATCGAGTGGAACCGATGTAAGGAATGTCTGGAGATGTCTACGAGAAAGTGGTTAACACTCAACCCATAGATATGTCTCGCGTATTGAGTGCACCGATAGTTTAGCTGAAGTTCAACAGTATTGACACAAATGAAGGCTTTCCCTCGACAGAGGTGTGTCCCTCAAGACTGCCCGCTATATCTCTACGAATGTGTGGACAGGGATGCGGATGAATGACTCGAGTGCCCACTCCTCAGTGAACAATGAGTTCAATGTCTTAAGACTTTTTTGGGTAAAAATACAAAACTTTTCTCCCAAATAAATACACATTTATATCACAAATCATTATAAATGGTATTTTATTAACAAATATTATTCAAATAGTTAACTATTATATTAATGTAATAAAGTTTACAATCGTATGTAATTTACTAATAACCGGGGTATTTATGATAATATAGTAAACAATTAGAGAATACCACTAATGTACCGGTAATTTATAATATTTTTATACTATAGTATGAAATGGTTTACGAAATTTAAAAAAACTATTAGATTTTGATAATTATGTATTAAATTACACAACAATTTTGGGCTTATATTAGCGACAGTTGTCTGTAGTTAACAATTCACTACAAGCCGTGTATTCAGTCATAAATGCAATCAAAAGTACAAAACATAAGAGTATTTATAAAAGGAGTCAAAAATATTGACAAAAAAAAATTAAGTCAAAACCAAATGAAAACTAAAAATTGACTTTAAATTCAAGTCATTTACTATACTATACTTAAGGCTTATTACGGTATACATCCCTTTCCCCTCTAATTGGCTGATAATATGGGAAAAACACGAGTGGGAAAGGGATTGTAATAGAAATGCCATTTACTATACTATACTTAAGGCACACACATACCCTTCCCCTCTAAATGCTTAATCAAACGGTTATATACGGGTGGACAGGGGTATGTAATCAGCATTCACTGGTACTATACTATAATAAACATACCAAAAAAACAGTACCGTAATAAGACA